CAGAGGGAGAAGCAGACCCCCTGCCGAGCAGGGAGCCCAATGCGGGACTCGATCCCAGGACTCCAGGATCATGACCTGAGCCGAAGGCAGTCGCTTAACCAACTGAGCCACCCAGGCGCCCTACATTAAAATATTTTATCAGAGCCTGACTCTTTAGAAATGTGGGTCCTGTATATGACATGGGTGGGATCTTCCTGGGGGGTCAGAGGGCCTGCTGCCCAACTGGAGAAAAGCTGAGCAGTCACCTTCCATGACAGTTCTCAGGGACAGAATGGAATTTATCTGGACAGCCAGATGCTGACACTGTCATTGCTTGAGGGCAGAGGCCAAATATGTCCGGGTTCCCATCTGAAAAATGCACATTCTGCTTTGTAACCCTCTGGCTAAAGACCCCTCCAGTGGAGCTCAGCATGAAACCTGAGAGGGAATCCTCTACCATGTGCCACATCCTTCCCCAAAGGACAAAGTAGCCCTGTCCCTTCCCTGGTTTAGTGCCTTCTTGTCTGTAGCACTCAGTGATCACTGACTCCTCATTCTGGTGTTTGTTTGGTCTTCTTACTCCCCCGTGAGGTTGAAAAATTCTCTAAGATTCAGGACTCCAACTGTGGTTGACAGTGAGCCACTGCTTATTTAAATGAAATATTTATGTTTTTGAGACATTTTAGCCATATATTTACATCTAAGTTTCCTAAATAGGATGCAGAATCTGACATTTTTAATTCTATAGTTTTGCACATCATTCTCTGAGAAGGGTCTCAGTGACACCAAGACCTTGGACTGAGTCTTGCATCTCTAAAATTAACTTCCAAATTCCATGAGAACAGGGACCACACCATGTATTTATTTAATCAACTCTGATTCAGGGATGTGGAATTTAAACCAATCTAGAAGACAGCTGCAGACAACCAGGCAAAAGATGTGGGAAGCATATTCCAGGCAGAGGGAACATCCCTCAGAAAGGCCTTGCAGAGCAAAAGATGAAGAATATTTAAAGCTCTGAAAGCAGGCCCAGATGGCCAGAGCAGCAAGCCAGTGGGATGAGGTCTGGAGATCGGCAGGGCAGACGGCACCAGGCCTGAGGCCACAAGTTGGGTCTTGGCTTTTATGCTATGAACCATGGAGGGACAGCCATCAAGGGTGAGTAACAGGGGCCAGTTTTCAGTTTTAATAGATCAGTTGTAAATGAGGATGGAAAGCAGGCTCAAGAGTGGAGGCAAGAAGGCAGATTAGGAGTCAGAGCAGGGCCTAGTGGAGAGTAAGTAGTGACAGAGACTTTCCATGTATGCTAGCCTTTCCTCTCAGTGCCTTACACAGAGTGTGCACTTGCATATGAATTTATTGCAAATTGAGAATATGAAGTAATTCTACTGGCTGCTTTTCTACAAGATGAATAACTTTAGCTCGACTGCCTAGGATTTTCTTTTCCCTTTGGGAACGTAATTCTGTGAGCTTCTTTCCTTTTTTAACATGAAAGCGATTTGGTATATCACAGAGCAAATAACCTTGCAGGTACACATATATAATAGAAGTGGTTTGGAGATATAAAAATTTTGACTAATAGTTTTGGCATTTGCCATGCTTTTCCCTGCCCCGCCCCCAACATCCAGTAAAACCACAAGCCTTGAATTACAAAGAGGTGAATGGTGATAAGAAAGCAGAGGCCTCAGAGGGGAGCCCCACCAAGGAACTTCCTGGACACTGGGGTCAGAGTGGGAGGCTATGTAGGGGCAATAGTTTATCTCTGTAGAGTGTGCCTTGTCTAAGCCAAAACCTTCAGGATTGATGGAGTGAAGGCTATTGTGGGGAGAGAAAGCCTCGTGTTATGGGGTGGGTGTGGGGTGGGGAATGAAGCAGAAATAGAATTTGCAGTGAGAACATCACCAATTTACCCAACCCCCACGTTGGAGAGACAAAGGGCCCTTTGGGGAGCAAAGGTTCTGGCCCACCTCCTCTAGGTGTTCCTGGGCTGCCCGGCTGAAAGAAAATGGGTCTCCAGTCTTATCTGTTCTTTTCCCAGCCATCCGCGCACAAGGGGTCTCTCCCCTTCCTTAGCCCAGACCTAAAAGGGTCGTCGCCCCCAGACCCCAGACTCCCATCATCCGCGCAGGACACTGTGGGGTGGAGAGGGTGCAGACGCTGGTTCCTCCACTAAGCCTGTCCATCGCGCGAAAGAACGCACAAAAATTCCCAAATCATCCCCCTTCTCCCCAAGTCTAAATCCTCGCGACTTACCCCTGGTGGCCGGGAGTGTCGCAATACGCGGCCTTGGCAAGGCCGGGAGCCGCGCCCGAGCCAAGCCGCGCGCCGAGCTCAGCACCACGGTCAGCTCCTGGCGCCGCGCGCCCCCGCGGGGTGGAGGAGAAGGAGGGCCCGCGCCCGCTCGCCGAGGCTTGGAGGGGCGGGCTGCTGTGGCAGGAGGCGGGCAGGCAAGGGTTAAGCCGCGGGAGGGCCTCGGGGTAGGGGCGGGGCCCGGAGCTTGTCTGCTGCGCTGGGCCTGGGTGGTGGCTGCTCCCGGAGAACTGTAGCCTCGGTGCCACCCGGACCTCGGTGGGTCTCGCTTTGTTAGTATTTCTTCCCGTCTCTGTCCCTGTCTCCCCGTAAGGCTGTGGTTTTGCATCCCTCAGGCCCAGCTGCGGGTGCTGCTGTGACGTACAGCGGCGCAGTGGTCTTCCCCGGCTTCCGACCGCATGCCTGCGCAGTGATCTGAAAGCCTTAGAGCGCGCAGGTGTGCGTCGCCTGATGATCTCCGCAGCTCGTAGGATCCAGGCAGATTTAACCCCAACCGTCTCGGAAGGGCTCCGTCACACGGGGCCTAGTCTCGATTCCTACGCAGGATTCAGAGCTGGCTTGGAAGAAGGAGCTGGCCAATCTCGGGATGCAGGGCAGAGTCTTACAGAACCTTCTTTACAGAGTGCCTTCCTTGGACCGGATTATATTATTTATGGGAACAAACAAGGCGCTTCCTTTACGGCTACTCGCTGTGTGAGGTCTGCTGTCCCTTTGCCCTGCAGCAGTCTTGGGAGAGCAGAAATATTGTGGGAACTGTCTCCCCGCTGGGCCGAGGACAGAGGGCCGGCATGCTAGGGGAAAGGAATAAAGTATGGATTAAGTAACCCTTGGATGGCTCTGGGAGCAGTGCCAAGTGGAGGAAGGGGTGTGGGGGGGAGAGGGGCGGGAGCACACAGCTGGTGTTGAGGAAGGTGCCGATTCCTCGGAGGTGGAGGTGGGGGGAGGGGGCTGGAGATGGGGGTGGTAGTAAGGGGCTGATCCCACACAACAGGGGTGAATGCAGGCAGTGAGTGATGGAAGGAAGGACAGAGGGTCGCCCAGTCCAGGCTTGAACTGAGGCCAGAAAGAGGTCTGGGTTAGGGCAAACGGCAAAGGCCATGACTTTCTTTTGCCTGGTTGGCTCCCTCCCTGTCCCCACGTCCAAAAAGACCCTAGACATAGGGTGTCCCACGTTGGTTTGGGCTGTCTTTGTCATAACCCATCAACCTTCTTTATAGTCACCTTGAGATTGCCTCACCCCAGAGTCAAGAGGTTTCCACTGATGTCCCCTCCCCCGGAGAGGATCTTCCACTGCCTTTGGATGAGCCCATTACTTGCATTTGAAGAGTTTTTCTACCTGCTGACTGATGCAGCATGCATGACCCCAGGTGTCCCCTCTCCCAGTGTTGGTGGTGTAGTCCTGACCTTTCCTGTCAGTTTCTGGCCATCAGAGTTCCCTTAGTCAATTCTTCCCCTATTATGTAGAAACAAAGGTGGATCTATGTTTCATTGCGACATATACCCTGAACCAAGAATAGGACTCCCACAGACTCCATAGTGCTTACTAAAGTTAATAAACATTAGGTTCTTCTATTATGGTCTTCCCTTTTCTGCATTAGAAGGACTTCATATTTTTCTTAAACTTTTCCCCTTTTGAGGATAATTAGTGCTCTTTTTCATTCCAAATTGTCACCCTTTGGCCATTGAGAACTATGCTAAGCCATCTACTTTCATCCTTTCAGAGAGTTTTAAAATATCCTTGATTTTTAAGAAACAAAACAAACTATATGTATAATTTATAATATATATATTTTTTCTTCCCCAAAGACATGGGATCAGGTCTTCTCCAAGGACCCCTGGAAAGAGCTTTCATACCAGGATTTCCCAGTTCGGATATTACTGAATGATTTTTAATAGTGTTCTACTGTAAACTTGCTTTATGTTATTTTTATAATACACTTAGTTTTCTCGGGCGCCTGGGTGGCTCAGTCATTAAGCGTCTGCCTTCGGCTCAGGTCATGATCCCAGGGTCCTGGGATCGAGTCCCACATCGGGCTCCCTGCTCGGCAGGGAGTCTGCTTCTCCCTCTGACCCTCCTCCCTCTTATGTTCTCTGTCTCTCATTCTCTCTCTCTCAAATAAATAAAAAAAAAAAAAAAGAAATTCACTGTTCTAAGTAATTCATATAGATGGAATCATACAATATTTGTACTTTTGTGTCTGGTTTATTTCACTTAGCATTAGGTTTTCAAGATTCATCCATGTTATAGTATTTATCAAAATTTCATTCCTTTTTAAGGCTGAATAATATTACACTGTATGTATATACCACATTTTTTAATCCATTCTTCCCTTGATAGACATTTGAGTTGTTTCTACCTTTTGTCTATTGTGAATAATGCTGCTATAAAACATTGGTGTATAAATATCTGTTCAAGTTTCAGCTTTCATGTCTTTTGAGTATGTACGTGGAAGTGGAATTGTTGGGTCATAATGGTAATTCTATGTTTAATTTTTTGAGGAACCATTGTACTTTTTTCTACATTGTACTTTTTCTACACCATTTTATATTCCCACAGGCACTGCCAAAGGACTCCAGTTTCCCTACATTCTTACCAATTATTTGTTATTTTCTGTGTTTTTGTTGTTTTTTAATAATAGTCATCTTAATGAGCATGAAATGATATCGCATCATGGTTTGATTTGCATTTCCCTGGTGATTAGTGATATTAAGGAATTTTTCATGTAATTATCAGCCATTTGTATATATTCTTTGGAGAAATGTCTATTCAAGTCCTTTACAGATTTTTAAATTGTATTGTCTTTTTTTCCTAACTGTATTGAGATATTATTGACATATCTATATGGAAGTTTAGGGTGTACAACCTGATTATTTTATACATGTATATATGGCAAAACATCCCTCCACAATATTAGGGTGTAGTAGTAACATTTAAGGTTTACTCTCTTAGCAAATTTCTTTTTTTTTTCCTTTCAAAATTTTATTTAAATTCAAGTTAGTTAGCATATAGTGTAGTATTAGTTTCAGGGGTAAAATTTAGTGATTCATCAGTTGCATATAACACCCAGTGCTCATTACATCAAGTGCTTTCCTTAATGCCCACCACCTAATTACCGCATCCCCCCTCCTACCTCCCCTAGAGCAATCCTCAGATTGTTCCCTAGAGTTAAGAATCTCTTATGGTTTGCCTCCCCCTCTGTCTTTATCTTATTTTATTTTTCCTTCCCTTCCCCTATGTTCATCTGTTTTGTTTCTTAAATTTCACATATGAGTGAAATCATATGGTATTTGTCTTTCTCTGACTGACTTATTTCGCTTAGCATAATATCCTCTAGTTCCATCCACCTCGTTGCAAATGCACGATTTCCTTCTTTTTGATGGCTGAGTAATATTCCATTGTATATATATATGCCACTTTTTTATCCATTCATCTGTCAACAGACATCTGCGTTCTTTCCATAGTTTAGCTATTGTGGACATTGTTGCTATAAACATTGGGGTGCATGTGCCCCTTCAAATCACTATGTTTGTATCCTTAGGATAAATACTTAGTAGTGCAATTGCTAGCTCAAAGGGTAGCTCTATTTTTAACTTTTTCAGGAACCTCCATACTGTTTTCCAGAGTGGCTGCACCCCCACCAACAGTATAAGAGTGTTTCCCTTTCTCTGCATGCTCACCAACATCTGTTGTTTCCTGAGTTGATCATTTTAGCCATTCTGACTGGTTTGAGTTGGTATCTCATTGTGGTTTTGATTTGTATTTTCTTTGATACCGAGTGATGTTGAGCATTTTTTCATGTGTCTGTTAGCCATTTGTATGTCTTCTTTGGAGAAATGTCTGTTCATGTCTTCTGCCCATTTCTTGACTGGATTTGTTGTTTTCTGGGTGTTGAGTTTGGTTAAGTTCTTTATAGATTTTGGACACTGGCCCTTTATTTGGTAAGTCATTTGCAAATATCTTCTGCTATTCTGTCAATTGTCTTTTAGTTTTGTCAAAAGTTTTCTTTGCTGTGCAAAAGCTTTTTATCTTGAAGAAGTCCCAAAAGTTCATTTTTGCTTTTGTTTCCCTTACATCTGGAGACATGTCTAGTAAGAAGTTGCTGTATTGAGATCAAAGAGTTTGCTGCCTATGTTCTCCTCTAGGATTTTGATGGATTCCTTTCATCCATTTTGAGTTTAACTTTGTGTATGGTGTAAGAAAGCTGGTGACATCACAATGCCAGACTTTAAGCTCTATTACAAAGCTGTAATCATCGAGACAGTATGGTACTGGCACAAAAATAGACACATAGGTGAATGGAACAGAATAGAGAACCAAGCAATGGACCCTCAGCTTTATGGCCAATGAATCTTCAACAAAGCAGAAAAGAATGTCCAATGGAAAAAAGACAATCTTTTCAACAAATGGTGTTGGGAAAATTGGACAGCCACATGCAGAAGAATGAAACTGGACCACTTTCTGAGCAACTTGCAAGTATATAATACCATATTGTCAGTTATTGTCACTATACTGTACATTAGATCCCCAAAGTTATTCATTTTATAGCTGGAAGATTGTATCCTTTGACCAACAACTCCCTATTTCCTCCACCCTCCCATTCCCTGCCAACCACCCTTCCACTCTCTACTTCTATGAATTCAGCTTTTTAAGATTCTGCATACAGGCGAAATGATACAGTATTTGTCTTTGTCTGACTTACTTCACTTGGCCCTCAAGATCCATCCATGTTGACACAAAAGGCAGAATTTCCTTCTTTTTATGGCTGAATAATATTCCATTGTGTTTATATGTATATATATGTACACATATGTGTGTGTACATATATATACACACACATATTGCTTATCCACTCATCCATTTATGGACACTAAGGTTGTTTCCATGTCTCGACTATTATGAATAATGCTGGATTGAATAATTCTGGAATAATGCTGGAATGGGGTGCAGATATCTTTTTGAGATAGTGTTTTCATTTCCTTTGGATATACCCCAGAGGTGGAATTGCTGGATCATATGAAATTCTATTTTTACTTTTTTGAGGAACCTTCATA